TTAAATGTATATTTATCAAATTTATTATTTAACATAGTAGAGTTGCACTCTGCTGCACATTCCTCTGGTCTGCGAATAGTGGCCGTGCCTACTGGGGAAAACGAGACTCGCCTGGTAGGGTGCATTCTGCCTGCCTTACTGAGCCCTGGCTCAAATTTGCTAATCTTTTTTTTTTTACACTCCAAATGCTTGCAGATTATCAGGTTTATGATCCATTCTGGAATTTTACAGGTCATCATGGTTAAACCCACCAGTTTGCAATGCTTATCTTTTTGAAAATTAAAATACTTCCTACCCCCAGACATCTAGCATAGCTCCTCTCGAGGATTCTGTTGCAGTTTCCCTGAAGGCCCTGAAGTATATAGTTTATTTGTTCAGGAAAGCGGACACTCTCCATTTCCTTTCCTGACTTGGGCTTCAATTTACTCTTCCAACCTTGTTTAAGTAGACAAGCACCTGGCATTTATTCAGAATATAGATGCCCAGACCCCTCACCTAGAAATTCCAATTCATTGTTCTCGGTTAGAACGCGCTCCCAGAAGATGTTCCGATGGACAAGTTCAAGAAATACTATTTTATATCATATTTGTCCAACTATATTTTGATAATGTTTGTCATCTACTAACTTTCCACCATCAGCTCCCTTTAGTAGAGCAATCTCTACTTGCTCTGAACATAACTAAAAAAACCTTTTGGGCTCAAATCTTTAAGTGCTTTTTGCAATACTGCGCTCATTCACGACTTGTCATGGCATTTCAGCTCTTTGGCATTTACCCTTGAATAAGATGTCTAATCTTATTGGAAAGCATTCTCTAGTTCACTCATTCTCTTTAATTATCTCCTGCCTTCTTTATCTCATCAGAATTTTATGCTGCTATCAAGTCAGACTTCCATCCTGAAGACCCAACAGGCTAATCTTTGGCAAGCATCCTCTTCAGAGTCTTTTCAAGTCCTGGGAACATACCCACTCTTTTTGTCTTACCTTCTGAAAACAGCTCAGACCCTCATCCAACTATGGTAGCACTCACCTCTCTATCGCACAGTCTGTAGCAGCATGTTCACATTGTCACAAGCTTCCTGGCAGCTTCATCTCAACAATTTGAATGGGATTAGAAAGGGCTCTTGGCAACTTGTATGTTTTCTTATCCTGTGGGTAACTTTGCCATTGACTGCAGGCGATGATAACAGGATCTCTTTGGTTTTTCCAGGTGACAGACCATATTTCTTCTGACTCTGTTTCATCTTCTACCAGTAGTTTCTGGAACTCGACCTCTACCTTTTGCATCAAGCAAAATGTACATATGTTAAACAAGGGTGTCCAAGCAGGTAAGTTACTTTAAACATTTCCATTGAAATACAGGTGGCTCTTAAACCTGTGATAAGATGCTCAAGCTTACCCCCAATAGAAGAAGTAAAGATGTAAACTTAAAAAATACTCAGACACCGTTCTTCACCTGTCAGATTTCTGCCGAAGTCTACGCTGAATAGCAATTTTGTGGGCAAGAGTGTAAGGAAACACTACATTCTAGTGGGGGTATAAGTTGGGAGTACTTATAAGTTGGCAGTTTCTATCAGAATTACTTTGACCCAGCACTTTTACTTTTGGGATTTAGCCTATAGATACACAGCGCATGGGAGCAAAATGACACATGTACAGCATTAACCTCTGAAGTATTATTTAGTTTAAGCAGAAAATTTAAATCAACTTAGATGTCCATCAATGGCCAAATGGTTAAATACATTATTTTATATCCATGCAATGAAATCCTACATAGAATGAGGAATCTTTTTCTACTAATATATCAAGATCGCTAAGATAAATAATTAAAAAGAAAAAGCAAAGTACAGAACAGTATATAGCATGCTACTACATGTATTTAAAAAAATAAAAGAAAGAAGAGAAATGCTTAAATGTGTGCAAAAATGTATCTGGAATCATGGGGTTATAAACTTAATGAATGGAGAACAGGAGTGGGAAGGAGGTCACTTTTTGACTTTCTATATCTTTTGATTTTATAAAATAAGAATAAACTTCCCCCTTGATAAAAATCTTCCCTTCAAGTCATGTCTTTCCATCTGTCAACCTCTTCCTTACCTAGGTAACTGCAATAGGACTGCAACAATTTACTGTCTTTCTCACTTGGGATCAGAACTGAAATCCTTTTCCCATTAAATCCATATTAGTAGTTCTTTCCTTCTAATATCTAAACCGACTTAGAAATAAGAGCCCCTTCTCTCTCTCTCTCTCT